TCTGTGGTAGAGGTATTACAGCTATCACAGTTACATCAATTCTTTCATCCTGCTGTCATCAGGGTATAACAATACTTTCTTTCATAGCAGTGTTTGAGTTCTTAAAGAACTGACTTCTTTTTGTCACTAGTGTTAAAGCTTAGGGATAGCTTAAAAGTGTATCAGATGAGCTTTTGCTGAAAGCCAATGTAATGACAAAATTATATGTAGGAATTACTCCATGCAAGTTTGCAATTGAACAGTGTAATATCTTGCATGCTGCACCTGCTCTCCTGCCAGGTCACTCTCAGGATGCACCAGCCCATTCTCAGAATGCTCTCTACAACTCTTCAGCAGTTTCTGCTCTTCTCAATATTGTTGCCAACTCGTACTGCAAACCCAGATGAACCAGGAGACAGTGCCCTTGTTTTCTACACCACTGCTGGGATAGATTAATCTCTCTGCCTAAGAAATCAACTACTCCTTCTCTCCTTCCTAAAATATTGGTTTAGAGCCAGGCTTGAGTCAGGCTATTGGTTAAAATATAGCTATTTTGAAGAAAGGAAATGTGAGGGCAAAGCAAATACATGCTCTGCACAGAGATTACAGACTGTGGGTGTAAGTAAAGCTTGGCTGTGAAGGGTCATGCTCAGTGCCTTTTTCCAACAGCCTCACCCTGCCATGCCATCTTACTCATCCTCACGATGTGCAGCTATCACCCACACACCTGGATTTTGGATATCTTCACCAGCACAATGGCTTGAGATGGAGAAATTAATTCCTCAGACCCGACTTGACACCTTTATTCTAGATACTTACAATATCTTGGGCTTTTCAAGGCAGCTGATAGTGCTGATGTTCCCGGTGCCAATAGAAGTGACAAGTAGATCAGCAAAGTCTGTATACCTGAAGCTTGTCCCACTGTGCCTTTATGGTATATTGTAAATGCAGGTCCTCCTAGATCACAGTGGGTTTGTGGGCACTGGATGATGATGTGTTTGCCACCTCAGATAGGCAGCAGTAGGCCCTACATTATCTACCTTCTCAGAGACACAAAGCCAGTAGCATTAAAGAATCACAGAATTGCCTGCATTGGAAAAAAATTCTCAGATTGAATCCCACTGTTAACTGAACACTTCCAATTTGACCTCTAAACCTGTGTCTCTAAACACCACATCTGCACATCTTTTAAAGATGTTGAGTTGCCATCGTGATGTCATTTCCCTGGGCAGCCTGTTACAATTCCTGACAATCTCTTCCATGAAGAAGTTCTTCCATTCTGAACCTCCTGTGACTTGACTTGAGGCCATAACCTCTTGTTCTATTGCTTGTTACTTGGGAGAAGAGACACTCACCTTGCTACAGCCTCCTTTCAGGCAGATGTAGACTGTGCTAAGGTGTTCCCTGAGCCTCCTTTTCTGTGAGGTAAAACACTTCAGCTCCATTAGGTACTCCTCATAAGACTGCATCTGAGTTGATGGTGCTTGTCTTTTCTAGGACTTTATCATCCCTATGCAGATGACCACAGGCTACACAGAAGTTCAGAGCTAATAAGTATGTGAAGCATCTGGACTGTAGACTTCACCCAAGGGAAGACTTGAGGATTACTACTTCACTGCAGTCTTGTGGAAACAGATCGAATAGCAGTTCTTCTGAAGCTCAAAAAGCCCAAACTGTGCCTTGCATTCCAATGCACATGCCACTGCTCAGCAAGTTTGCAACAAAAGCTGCTCTGAACAGATAGTGATGCAACAAAGAAGGGAAACAGCTGTAGGCTCTCTGAGAAAACACACACAGGCTTGCTTGTGCTGCCTTATTTAAGGTGCATTTTGTTGCTTGTGAGAACACCCAACTTGTTCAGACTTACCAATACCATTCGAGTACACCTGTGTGTGACCCATTGTAACACCCCAAAACACTTAAATGCAAGGAGGTTTGCTGAGGTTCCTTTTCTTTGGGTTAAGTGCACAGGAAAAATACCCACCAGATATTCACAAGAGATCAAAATTATACAAAAGTTTACTGGGAAATACAGAAGGTCAAGGAACTTTGGCAAAGGATTTAATACAAAATCAAATTAATAAAAAACACTTATCATAGCATTAACTTAGTTTATTTAACTTAGCAAACTTTAAATCCATTCAATGTAAAGTTGTCCAAAATGTTCTATGAGAAGAGAATCAGAAGAAGAATAAAGGGAGAAAGACAGAAACAATATAGAAAAACACACACATAGCTGCCAACTCCTGGATTCCAGCACGAATAAACTCCAAGAGGGGCAGGGTCAAGACATGTGTTTATTTCTCAGTCAGCTTATTAAACCTCAGGCCTATGTGGGCCCTTCCCCCAGGTGGGACTGTGGTCACTCAGCCACTGAGGAGCTGGGTTAGCTCTGCCTCTGGTGTGCGATTGACTGATTGATTGATTGATTGATTGACAGACATTGCAGGGCTGGGATGCTCTAGCTCTGGGCTGGGGGCTGTGGTGTGTGGGCAGGGCACTGACTCACCAGGGCAGTGTCCGACCTGCCCCTCTCCCGAACACATCCCGAAATATCTCGAGACATCAATCTTTCCCATGAATATCCTGGAGGCCTCAGCCTTCTCTCTGGTGGGAAGGAGGCAGGGGGGCCTTGCTGTAGCCACAGTGGGCCCAGGGGACAGCGTCTGTCTTTGCAGAATTCGGCAGCACGCTTGTGCTCACCACAGCTCCGACCTTCCCCCTCTCTGGCACACACACATCCCTGCCTCGCTGTGCACCGACCCTACTCACTGGCTACTCTGGGCTGATCACACTGAAATGCAAATTACTAACTTTTGTGAAGTTACTAAACTAACCAAGTGACTCTTCATTGGTGCCTACTCATTACTTACCTTTATGAAAACTTTGGTGACATTCATAAATAGTCCTAATAATTTAGTTTTTCACCATTTATTCTTCAAGAAAGATGTTAAATAGACAAGGGATAAAGAATATAGATTTCAAATCAACCTTTGTAGGAAACCTCTATTACACATTACCATACATTATTAAAAAAAAAAAAAAGAATACATTACTGGTATTATTTATCGACTAGATCCTTAATCTAAGAAAAATATCAAGTTTGAAAAATTTTATTTTTCATAAAAGAAAGTTGATATTTAGAAGAGGGGAGTAAAATTATTTATTAATGATGATGTCAAACATTCTATTATTTGGCTGGGATTGAGATTTGATGGGTAGTTTGCCCTTTTAAAATATTGGCTTAAGATTTTTTCCAATTCTCTTTAATTTCCCCTGTGTTTTAAACTTTATTAAAAGTCAACATATATACCTGAGAAAGCTTATTTGATTATTCCTTTTTGGTGGTTTTAAACACACGTGGTTCAGGTCTCTTGGTAAAAAAAGAAGACAAGAAATAAAGAGCTTTATTGGTTGCTGCTTTCACGTTTTTCAGGAGTCTGTTAGAATGGAACCTTTCAATTCCACTCTCTAATCAGGTCACTCTTCTCTCTTACTTGTGATGTTGGGGTATGCTTGCTAAAACCAGTTCTAGCTCTTCTCTGCTATTATAAACCCTTTCCCTACCATCCAACCAGACATTCTACCAGTTAAGGGAGTTCAAAAATAACTGTTCAGTAATTTGTCCAGATAACAGCACTAATGAGTCACTTCATTCTTTGTATTCAAATAATCCAAAAATATCTGTATACCTGTATTAAATACTATGTATTATGCAGTATACCTGTATTTCTGTATTCTAGAAAAGGAACAAGGCTCTAACAGGAGGGGATCTATAAATTACTTTTTAAGAGAGAGCACAGCACTCTTCACATAGCCATGAAAGGGTATAGGTTCTGTGTAGGAAAAAACACAGGTGAACTTTGTCATTTCACACTTGAAACTTATTTCCTTTTTTAGACAACATGAGACCAAATCTTGAGGCTTTTCTATATCATTTTACATTGTCTGAGTAACCTCCCACTAAAATACTTGGGTACACCCAAGTTACAGCATAGGAATCTGACAGGCTATTGAAATGCAGTTCTATTAACTCTTCCTCCATGTGCATCAGTCACACCAAACAGCATGACCTGAGACTACTATTATATGCTTTAATTTGGAAGTATCATGCTGAGCTCCATCTTTCACTACATTTCTACCCAGGCTTCTGATAAAACAATCTAATCAGCTGAAACAAGATTATATGGTAACAGTAGATACATAGCATGAACATTTTATCCCTAAAGAATTTCTTTATTAAACTAATTTTGTTTCTCTCATTAATCTCATTGAAGATTGTTCTGCAATAATGAAAGGATGTAATCTGCCACTGACTAATCGTTTCAGACTCTTCAGTCACCATATCTTCCTTTTCAATAGACTTTCCCCCTGTGTTCCTTCTGGCTACTTAAATAGAAGACAAGCTGAGAGAAAACAGGTTTTGTATATCATTTCATAAGCCTTTTAAAAATTGCAATAAAGAGAATTCAAGAATTTTTCACACATCCTCAGCCCTGGTTTTTGAGGTTTTAATTTCCAAGTTTAAGGCTCCTCCCATTCTGTGTGTTTTGATCCTGTTAGTAATTTCTTAGACAGCAAAGATCTGTTTCTTTGCATTATCTTTACCTCCTGGCAGTGAGACAAGCTTCAAACTGTAGACTTTCAACTGCCTGACTATTGAATGAAGTCTGAGCCCTAAACTATGAATAAGACAGGGCAAAACAGAATTCATTGAACCCAAAATGTTAAGAGGTAATTTATTGAAAATAGTTAAGGTGAGAAGTACTTAATGTCACAGCTAAATATTCCTCTGTACACTCATCACTCTTTCTGAGTAGGTGGGAACCTCTTTCCCCACCTCTCAGAAGAGTGCCCTGAGCAGCAGAGGCAGTCTGGTGCTCCTGTAGTAAAACTATTTTGCTTGCAAATGATATTTAAATACTCAGCTGGTATAAGTTGAAGAGAGCAAATAGAAGTGAATTTTGCTTCCAGACTGTTGATAAAAAAATTTGTGCAGAAAGGAGAGAAACTTGTGTTGTGCATTTTGCTCCAGTACTTATTTATTCTGAAATACTTGTGGATTCCTTAGCTGCAAGTATCCCTCCTCCCAGCTGAATACCACCCTCAGAGCAGCGAGCGACATTCGCGTCTTCACTGAATAGTCCATTGAACCATTGATATCTCCATGCAAAATGAAACAGCTTCTGCAAGAGAGGCAAACATAGCACTTCACTTTAGACTCCAGAATCAGGAGTCTGATTGCTGGATATCCTACAGGGAAGTGGGATACAGGGATTTAAGATCTGTCAAGCACAGGAGGCAATTGGATCATAGATTTTTGGGTGAACGCTCAAGCAATTTGAAAACAACAAGAGAGATGATAATACCTCTTTCTCTTCTAGCTGTATTATTGTGCAGACTTAATCTGTCCAGGTTTTAAATTGTTTCTTTACCCAAATAAAAGAAACATGCTATGTCTGTGAATCCTGGGAGGATTTGTTTAAGAGAAACTCATCACTGCAGTAGCTGAAAAAACATTTCTATTCATTTCCAGAACAGATCGGTAGGTAAAACAACCCCTACTATCCAAACCTTTGATATGAGGGAGTTTGGTCATGACCAGGGCTTGGCAGTAGCATAGTGAAAATTATTAAGAACAAGATTTTTGCAAGCTTTTATCACAAGCCTTCATTTTGCTGCACTCCAAACTCTAAACTTGGAAACAAAGTAAGAAAATGCTGTTTATTCCTATAGGGTTATTGTGAAGTACTGAAATGCTTCACAGTAATGAAATTCCATAATGAATATCATAAATAAAAATTTCTAAAGTAACTTCCTGTAGATAGCATGTCCTATTCAGTGCAGTGTGCAAGCACACTGTGGTGCTTGTTTCTTTTATGATAGTTTTGAACCACCTCTTACTGAGGGCCTTAAGTTTATTACGAAATTTTCTCAATACCTTTGTCTTGACACCCTGTAAATCTTTGATTTAATTTTTCTTTATGGAGTTAGTTCTAAAAGCTGTAGAATTCATTATAATTGTCGATACATCTGTTGTAAAGTTCAACCACACATATTACTAACCATCTGAAATGGTTCTATAGGTTTGTGACTTTTAAGAGTAATACTAAAAATTTAGATCTCTATTAACCAGTGTGCAGCATGAAAGGCTGTTGAGAATGACGTTGAGTACAATATTTTCAGGGGTTTACAAAACCTATATATTGTGTTAGCTTGTTCTCTATGCTTTAAGGCAGATAAATCTTCCTCTTGCCATCTGTTAGTGGGTGAGGGGATCAGGCAATGGGCCATGAATGCTTTGTACTTCAGTTACCAAACCACCTCCCCAGTCTCCTCTTTCTACTTCTGTGCTGCAAATATGCTGCAGGCCTGACTGCAGTGCTGCACAGGAAGGGTGAAACAAGTTTATGTGGCCAGATCCTTTGTTCCCACCACTGAGGGTGTGCAGCATCCCACAGCTCTAAAACAATTTGTTAGCTTCACTGCAGAAAGTATCTCAGCCTTACCTAGCAAAAAAAATCCAAACTAGATAAGTGCACAGGTACATCAAAGGTAGCCCTCAAAATAAATATAAAGGTGACATTACCCCTTCTGTGACATATCCTCTTAGACAGCATTTGACTTCTCTTCATCATATGTTTGTCTGATTCACATTCCTGTACCAGAATGGTGTCTACTGACTGCACTGTATTCAAACTCACTCACTGAACAGATTCACTATACTCATAAATTAATCACTGCGAAATGTTGTCTTGAAGTATATATGTCTTTAAAATACACCAGGCTCCTGTCAGTAATCTGAAAAACTGTCAGTGATTATATTCAGGGGAATATGTTATTTTAGACAATATGAGCACCTGGTCCTTGTGAAAGCCATCATCTTTCTTTCCAGAAACAGTGAAGGGTATGACACGAAAACATAAGGAATAGCTTGTTTATTTTCTGATTCCCTGAAAATCTCAAGTAGTGATTTTTATCTTCAGGTGAGTGATAGAGTTGGGAATTAACTTTGTATGTAATCTCTGTTTTACCTGTTGTCCATAAGCAAGAAATCTATATTGTCACAGGAATTCAGAATTACATACAGAGATTTAAAATTAAATTTCTGCTGCAGGAGTGAAGGTCTAGGTGCCCTTGTGTTTCCTTCCAGTTTGTTTTGTAAATGAAATGTATTCAACTGCAGCCTTGCCCTGTCCATTCCTCTCTGTCTGTGCTTTTTTAAAACTTCCAAGGCAGGAAAATGATACTAATTTAAGAAATGTGATTTTTATGACATAATTGAGAAGAATGACTAAGGAGAAGAAAAATGGCTATAGTGCCACTCCATGATTTACCAAATGTCAGAAAATCCAGAAATGAGACCATAGTTACAAATTCTGCATATGACAGCAAATGCTTCATTCAGATCTCATTCTTTAATTTACAGTAGACAGAATAGGAAATCAGGATTTGGATTTTGCTTCAGGACTATTTACTTGGACTATTTTGAAATTTTAAGAAAGTCTATCAAAAACACCCAAGAACTTTAGATACTTAGAGAAAGTTGGGGAACAAATGACAAGAAAGCACTATTTTCCTTTTTGATTTTGTCTAAAAAATGTAATTAAAATTAAAACTCTACTCATTGTTGTTCATTGTTGTTTACACACAGTATTCAGGGCATGCTGGGATCTGAAGATGTGGGGTTATATAATCTCTATCACAATGAGCTGTTTTAAAGACATTGGACACCCATTCATGTAGAGTTTATTATCTGAATTTCAACAGCCCAGGAGAAAACACTGGTGAAAAGAACTCTGGAATCCCCAGTGTACATTAACTGGACATTTGAAGATGTTTTTTAATTTTGCATTTTTCCATTGGGGAAAAAAGTTACAATTCCAGGGAATGTTTATAAGTTGGATAAAATATTAAAAATGTTAAAGGAAACACCCTGAGCTTTCAACTGTAAAGCATATCTGACAAAATCATAGGCCATAATTAAGTTTTGCAGAAATGTTCTAAGGAAATATCCCCTCATCATTCAACACATCACAAAAAAAGAGTAAATTTGGGAAAGTAGGTATTCATACAGCAATGTATCTCTACTTTTACTGCCATATTCTATATTTCTCTTGATAGCTCCTTTAAGGACCCCACAAATGGTAGGAGAGTCCCCCATAGCTGTCTGCATTCATCCATCATTCCCATACACCTGGGAAAGTGAACTGGCCAAACTCTGCCTCTTTGGCAGGTGTGCACAACAGACATGGCAACCTCCACCTCCAAATGACAGCCTTCCAATTTTCACTTCAAAGGAAAAATCAGGAAAGCTCTTACCTAGACTCTTTCCATTATCTAACATTAAAGGTCCTTCTAGGCTTACAGCCTTTTGCTTCAGCTGTGCTTGATTCCCAAGCCACAGGCAACAAAACAGCCCTATCTCAAAATACTTTGTTTCTGTGAGATTTTTAACTCAAACACAGCAGCTTTTGAGTGCAGCCTGCTTGCATCCTGAAGGCTTGGGACCTACTTGGGTAAAGGGTAGATCTGTGCGAGTCCTGGGCAGGGAATTGTTTCTTGAATAAATAGACCCTTGTGTAAGATTTACAAAGGAGGAAAAAAAAAAACCCAAACAAAAATCATGTAAATATTGTGTTACCATAGTGTATTTTTGCTTTGGTAAGAAAACAGTGAGATTATTCCTCGTTTTAACTAGCTCATTCTAGAAGAAGGTTCACCACCCTAGAAGAGAGTTCACCAGACTGCAGAGAATTACATTTTCATTTACTTTGAGGAATACACAGTGAGTTCCTTTCTGATATCCCTTCCTGGGCTTCTTACTGGTTTTCTTAAGTGGTTCTTCTCATCTGTGAACATCATCCTCAGGCAGAAAACTCTTCCAATGGGGAGCTCTTTATGAGAATTGTGAGCATCTAACACAGGGCTATGAATTCTGGTGGACATCTTAAGACTGATAGCATACAATATGAATGTCACACACACACACATTGAAATAGGCCTCAGTACCTTAGATGAAAATATAGAGTAAACCCATGTTACAAAATTAATTTGGATTCAAAGCACCAGAATGTCCCAAAATTCTGGGGTTGATTTTTTTCATTTGTTTTATTTTTTACTGTCAATCTTATCTGTCTGATCAATTAGCTTAACCTTCTGATCAAAGCATTGTATCACTGATGTCTTACGTCCCTCAATCTGACTAGTTTAATTTAAAACCACTTCCAAAGTATTTGGCCACTCAGCGGGATTGTCAGGGTCCAGCTCTCACATGCATTAATTAAATAGCAAACAGGAATAGGCCATGACAGCACATTCAGTTGGGTTGCTCTCTGATGAAGGCTGATGAGGATTTCACTTCAGTAAAGAGAACTGAACTCAATCATAATAGATTTTAAGTTTAAATCTGTGAATAGTTTGGGTAGTAAATAAACTACTTACACCAAAAAAAAAAAGAAACAAATAGTCAACAGTTTCTATGTGCATGTTATTTTCAACCCCTTTTCAGAGTTCACGGGTTCTTTTGAGTGTGTATATCCTTTCATTTTCTTCACAAAGAAGCAAAAAATAACAAACCTACAAATTATACCCAGAGGCAGAAAAATATAACCCTAACGAGAGTTAGAGCCTAAGAAAAAAATGTGCAGAGGTTCCAACATACTTTATAATTTATAATAATGAAATTTCTGATTTACAATATTAGTATCATATATAAAATTTTAATCAAAAATTGATTTTGTTTACAATCTCTTCCCCATTTTGACCAATCTCTCAGGAATTCAATAAGGCAATTTTTGACCAGGGCTGCCTAGAGGTCAGAAACAGAGGAAAGACCTCTTTATTCATTGGTTTCCAACCTTGGCTTTATAAGCAGACAGGTTGCACAATCCCGTCCATGACATTTCCTGAATCTTATTGTTTTCTCATACAAGGATCCTCTTGTGTTTTTTACTATATATATGATATATAGTATATATATATATATATTGCTAATTTTTTTACAATTTACTCTACTAACATTTTCTCTCACAGAAAGAAGCTGTTATGATGTCATTTGGGTTTTGCCTTTTTTATATATTCTCTGTATTCTTCACACATACATTTGTAGCTCTGTAGTCTATTGCATTAGTGACTAGTTTTCCCAGTAATTTTCCATGGCCTTTTCGTAAGCAGAAAGACAAAACAAATTCCAGAGCTCCAAGCTCTGAGGGGTACAAGGCTCCAATCCTTTCTTGGTTCTTCCTGGGAGCCAAGACCAAGAACAACCCCTTGAGATACATTCTCGTGGACAAGGTACAACCAGTGCTGAAGGGGGGGCTCCAGAGAGGGGCTTGGCTGGGTGGGAATTGCATCACCACTTGTGCTCCTAATTGGTGTATTTTATCAATTATGCTAATTTCTTAAAACCTATAAAAATGTACTCACCCTTTGTGGGGGTGGGCTTTTGTGGACATCTTCCCATAACTGCTCCTGAAAGCCTTCAAATAAAGATCCCCTTTTATATTACCTCCTTACTAAAATTATCTCGAGTTTCATTTCCAGGTTGGGAAAAAGGCAACAGTTCTTCCACTTGTCAATAACCATTCCTCTTGTATATTTAGGGAAAACAAATCTCTCTTGTCAGCCTCTGCTTTACAAAGCTAAATGAGCCAAACTGTTCTTCCTTTTCTCACTCAGTGAACATTTCATGTCCCAGGTAAAACTTTGCAATACTTGTTCCACTTTACATCACTAATTATTACCAAAGAGTGAATTGGTTATATTTATGAATTTAGGTGAGGACATGCAAAAATCAGAAATAGAAAAGGTCTGTTAGATACATATTTACATCACTTTTCAGGTTTTTGCCCCCTGAGATGTTTCATACTAATATGTCTTTTCTGAAATATCTCCAAACATGATCATTCTTCAATTAAAAGCCTCAATCAAAAAATAAAAATCAAAAATAAACTTATAATCAGAAGGTAATCCCCCATGGTCATCAATTTACAGGTAAAAATTGTGCTTTTCTTTAGGAATTCACAAGTGAGCAAGGATTGAAGACAAACCTGAATAAAACTGATGTTTTTTTAAAAATTTTTAAAATTTTGTGTAATTTAAACTTTACTTTGCCTGTAAGAGCAGAAGCTGTATTTCAGCCTCTTGTACAGAAATCTTCTTTGAGTCAAAAATAAATAGCATATGATGTTTTAAGATATAGAAGAACAATAGTAACACAGGTTACTATCACTATTAGTTTATTTTATGAAGCCCCAGAAATTTTCTATCAAATTCAAATTATCAAATTTTCTATCATCTACAATGTAATTGGTAATTGTATATCATACATTATACATCCAAAGAATTTTTTTTTATGTATATTAAAGGAGACTTCTGCCTTAAGACATATAAGGAATATGCCTTTTAAAATGCAAGCTTAATGGTACAAGAATCAGGTAGCTAGAATTCTGTGTATTGGGAGAAATTTGAGAGATTTACTTGTTTGACAAAGGATTCAAATGCAAATGAGCACCAAGATCAAACTGCTATTAAAATAATTTCCATCCAGGCAGTGTAGCAGAAACAGTGGTTAAAAGCACAGCTAAAAATATCTGCTGTGACTCAGAATCTTTGAAAATCCACAATCAAAATAGCCAGTAATGTGCACCTGTGACCCTTTTACTTGTTTTTGCAAATGCTTTATCTTCATTTCTAAAACTATTTGCAAAGCAGGACCTGAAAGCAGAAGATGCCAGAAGTGTCCAGCCTGCTGAGAAACAGCAGGTTTTTGCTGTAACAGAAATACCACCAGAGCCTCTGTTTGCATTGGCTTAAATACTACTTAAAAATATGATATGGGTTGTTTGCTGCTGTTTATCTCTGAATCATTCAGCAAAGAAGCAATCATGGGGACCAGAGAGTCACAGTGGCAGCAAAAAGTGGTATTGGACATCCAGGTCTTCTGCATGGGAAAAATTATTGTGAGTATTTTATCAAAAACAAAGGTATGGATTAAAAAACTTTAAAAATTGAGTTCAATAAAGGAAATACCTCTATATTTTTCCACCTTTCTCTCCAACATGGAATTGAAAAATTCTTAAATATTTCACTTTAATAATTTTGAATAATTTTGTTCTTATTTTGAAATGAAATTTTAAAAAGTTGTCCATCCATATTTTAAGGGACACATAAACAGTTCCTGTTATGTCAAGATCAAATTGTGGAGCTGAGATTTTCTTCTTCTTTTTATTTCATATAAAAGGAAACACTAGGGTTTTTTTCTAAAAAATCCCCAATTTTCCCTTTTTTAAAAAAAAAATTAATTTGGTGTGTTCTTACCTAATTTCTATCAAAATATAGACAATTTAAATTTTTATTTAAGATAGTTCAGCATTTTTATGGTAGCTTGAGAATTTTCTTGTCTATTTATTTTTTTTTCTAGTCTAGCTTCAAACAAAGCTGTAGTTGAATAAGAGATTTTCAGCATTTGGGGTATATTTGCGTTGTCTGAGAGCAGCCATACCAGTTCTGCAGTCCAGTCATTCCTTTTTCTTACCTCCAGACAGAGGAACATTGACATAATGATGCTGCCTTCACCAAACAAGCATGGCTGGGATCTTCCTGATCCTAAAACACCTATTAGATTTTCAGTAGCATCAACAGTAAAACTTCCATCGCCATGATATTTTGTCAACAAACTCCCAAGGACACCCCTGGCAGCTAGCAGTTGTAGTTAATGCTTCATTCTAGGTAGTTTTTCTTAAAGCTTACACAAAACATGCAAAAGAAATTTGGCCAGATATGCCCAAAGTGAAATTACCAAATCTCAAGGCAATATTTTCACAGTAATTCCATGAGTGAAGTACTTAAGGGGCACATTCAATCAGGTAGACAGATTCCTTCACCTTCATTAATATCTCAGCAGACTCTACAGTGCATGGGTGTTTCATGGTGTTTTTTGTGCCTTCCTTGCCTTATCCTCCATGCTCCTTAACACTGCTTTTGCTGGATGCCAACCCTGCGTGATGCCTGAATACAAATACTGAAAAGCCATTTCAAGTACATACCCTGACCAGCTATTTTTGGGCAGCCTATATGTCATTATATAACAGCACATATGGTATAGATCTAGATTTTGGTTTAGCTAGAATAATTTTCTCCAGTGGCTTGAATTTAAAATTTTGCATTTATCCTTAAACAAGCTCGGAAGCCTTTAGGTTTACTGCAACTCAGTATTTTTCTGCCAGAATTAGAATACCAGGGATCACATGTGGTATTTAAGTGAGATTTCACATTTATTTTTCAATTAGTTTTAGTTTGCATTGTTTGTTGAGATTTATCTTAAATGGTGGCACCAGATTTTTAGGTGGTTAAAAGCCATGCTTTGCAGAGCTGATTGAAAATTCATAAGACTTTATGAAACATTATAATGTCTTTCTTTTGTAAATATATAACTAATTCTCCTTAGAACAGTGCCTGTGGGATATTGCCATTTTCAGCAAGTTTTATTTTTTAATAAAGGCTACTGAGAACCTTATTTTTTTTAAATTCGGTTTTGTTGTTTGGTTTTTTAATTAACGGGTTTTGCTTTCTAAATCAACATGGAAATTGCACGGAAGGAAAGTTTTTAATTAGTTCCAAAGCTGCATTTTTTTCAGCATTGTATATTCCTCTTGGTTATTAGAGACCCCCCCTTTTAAAGATGATCATACCTTGGTTGCTGTTAGCTTTTACAATAGCGGGATATATGATTTCTGTGAAATCTTAGATGATCTCAGCACACTTCCAGTCTTTGTAGTGATTTACAAAGACAACCAATGACTCAGTCAGGTTGGTGCATGCTGCTGGCCAGGCTCTGCTGGCTACCAGAGACTCATCTTCCTTTGTAAACAGCCATATGACTTGTTAGAGATTACTGAGGGAAAGCAAGGGACCCTCTTAGATTGAATATTGATCTCAAAGTAGTATGCTGCACTTCCCTCTTTGGTTTTTAATAGCAGCACTAATAGCACACTGCTTTTACTGCTGCACTCTGATACAGATGTTTCCAGCTGCTTCCTGGTGCAGAGCACTCCACACATGCACTTCTTCCCACATTAAAAATCTCATATTCTCTATTTATTTTGGGTATGCCCTCCAATAATTAAATAACAGAAAAGCTATGATTTTCTATTTCACAGAGGCTCAGCTTGAGTAATTTTGAAGGAAGTTTGGAATTGATCTATGATTAATTTTATTACTGAAGAGAACTAAGAAAACCATACTACATTTCCATAGTAATATAAGCCTGTGACTGTTTTTATAGCACGTTGTTCACTTATTGGATTCACTGAAAACAAAGCAAATTAATCTCATGTATACAAATTTGCATAATGTTTGAAAGTAATGCATGAGCTGAGAAAGTTTCCTATACACTACTGAGAAGAAGTCACAAAACAATTTACAGTGAATTGTTCACTTCCAAGCCCCCAGCTACCTGGCAGAACTTTCAGTTAAAGACGGCAAGGATGGATATTTAAATCCAATGTCTAAGGAAAAAACCTCCAAAGCCCACAAAAGGCAGCCAAAAGTAGGTAAAGTCAGATTGATTGGGAGAAAAATATTGATTACAATAAAGAAAATGTCTGAGATTATGATAGTCAACAAATTTCAAATGCTGGAAATGCTGAACTTACTGTGAGTAAAAACACATTCCATATTCTTCCTATATTAATATATAAGGCTATTTTCCTTTCACTTTAGTAAGGAATTAATATGAAGTTTGTTGTTTGAAATCCAGCTATATTTTGAGCTGCTTCTTCTAACAATTCTATTTCTTACATGCAAAACCTTTTTGCAATAAAGGGTGTAGGCCTATGCACTGGGCAAAGCTTGCGTTGGTGTCAGTGCATTTTCCGTGTAGCAATGGCAGGGTGAATCCTTATAGCTGTGCTCTTATCAAACTCCTCTATCTATCAGAAGGCTGTAGAAAATCTGTGGGTTATCACTGCTTTCATGGACCAAAACCTGCTGCTCTGAGCTGTTAGCAACAAAAATGGATGTTGGACATCAGGGAAGGAGAAAGCATATCATAAAGATAATGAATTATAGAAGGATGCATTCCTTGATTTGATTGAGTGGTTTCAAACCACTCAAGTTCACTGGCCATTTCTTATGGAGCATATGGTAACAAAACCCCTTGGGTGCTAAATGGAAAGTACAGTCTTTGATAGCAACCACCAATTATCAAGAATTGTGGGATATGGTTACAGCCTCCTATAGAAATCCTCTAAAGGGCTCCCACAAGATATCTATGTATTCAGGACTTATACAGGGGATAGGATTTTGGCCACTGTGAATTCCAGTTCAAGGAAGGCTATTGATACCAAGCCTCCAAAGGCTTAGTGCTTATGAATATTAATAGTGGAAGTGGGAATTTTTATATAACATCTTGGTTTACCAAACATAAAGAAAGTTTTTGCTGCATAACCCTTAAATTCTGAAAATAAAAAAAGCAATACACCATCAGCTACCCCCGGTTAACAGAGATCACACTCATGGTTGAAAGCATGGATATGATCCATCCTGAGGAATCACACATAATTTGCTACTATTGAATTTATCATAGGTACTACCTAGCCCAGCATATTGTCCCAGTAGTAACAGAAGCAGATACTATTAGAAGACAGTATATAAGACTCAAATTTTGAAGTCTGTTTCCCTAGTACTGTCCTGTAATTCACAGCCTTTGGATTCCAAGTACTGAAGGCACTCCCCAGCCTTTCACACGTGTGTTGCCTATAGGTTTTGCTGATCCTTTTTTGAACCTGCTGGTCTGCCTACAGAACTTCTTGGGGTTATACTTTCCAGAAGACCACTCTCCACTGTGTTCAGGGTGAAAGTACTTTCTTTCATCTGTTTTTACACTTGCAGTAGTTTCACTGAGTTTACACAGTACTGTGGTATTTGATGAAAAATCATTTGCATCCATTTTTTGCTGTATGCACTGCTTTCACAAATTTGTAAATCCCAGCCACATGGTCCTTCATGGTCTTCTTCTCATGGAAGAATCCCAGCCATTTCCCTCTCCCCTCACAAGGCAGTTGCCTTTCTCTGTACCTTCTCCAGCTCTGTCCTTCCCAGTCACAGATGAAGCCCAGCCTCTGCTCCAAAGGATGCCTAACCCTTCACTAGCTTCTTTGACCACTGCTACACATCGAACTGGGAACTCCAGAGAGTGGTCAACAATGGCTCCAAGAGATCATTGTGATGCCATCTCTTTCCCCTTCATTCCAGGGACTCCATGTAATAGTCTCAGTTATTCCTTATGGAAATCCTGCATTTCTCTATCCTTATGCCTTATTTTCCTGTAATAACAAAAACGTTTTTTGTTTTCTGTTCTCATTCCCTGCAAAAGCAGTCCCCACAGCATGGAGATACATGTGTCCACATTCATGTGCCAGAGTTCCCTGCTTTATTATCCATACCACTATTGCTATCTTCGCTCTGGAATTTCTGTACTTTCAGCTTGTTGGGAGCTGGTCCTCTTTCAAATCCAAATGCACTACGAAGCATCAGTCATCTGGTTTTACTTTGTGCTTCTTAACTGTAACCCAAAACCTCTTGCCTTGAACACATCTTTGCACATATCAATCATACAATCTTTTCTGTTACTCTGAAGAACATCTTCCATTTGAAAGATTACATTCTGTGAGGCACTGGAATAAGCTGCCCAGAGAAGCTGTGTGCATGCCCCATCTCTGGAAGTGTTGGAGAAGCCAGGCTGGATGGAACTTTGAGCAGCCTGATGTAGTAGATGTCCCTGCCTGGATTGAACTAGATGAACTTTTAGAAGCCTCCCAACTCATACCATTCTCTGATTCTATCATCAGTCTATGATATCCAAACATTTAAGTTCTAACCCTTGAAAATAAGCTTTGTCCTATAAGCAAAGGAAAAAAAAAAAAAAAAAGGAATGTTCTAAGTACCACACAGGAAGCCTGGGGACTCCAATATATGGAAAAACTACCCAGGACTGTGAACTCAAAAGGTAAGGATATACCTTTGAGTTACACAAGGAGACAGCAGAGATTCTGCATATTGCTGTCAAGGAGAAGGGTGAAAATAACAATGAGAGGAGACAGCTGGGAGGGCTGAGGTGAAACTTTGAGAGCCAGAAGCAATCAGTGGTATGTCAGAGCCTCAGTTTATCAGCAATATGGAATTATAGAGGATACATTTGAAAAAGATTCCACTCAAGCAATATGAAGAGAGATTGGCAAAGCACTCCAAGCTTTGCATGGAGTGCAAAACTGCATGTTTTCTGTGCAATGAGGAATTGTTCCCCTTCTGTCTGATGGTACACAGCAGATATTTAAATCTATGTTGCTGTGTAGGTACAAGATGCAACTCTATAGATGTTTCTGCTGAGCAAATCTTGAAGAAGAAAGGAACAGCTTTCAATATTCAGATGGGTGTCTACCTCTAAATATAGTTCACTGGCGGGTACAGCAGATGCACCCACCACTTACTTGCTAATGTCCAATTTGGTAATCTGCATCTGGGTGATTATGGTCTTTTGAATGCTGGAATTTGCTATCTTAGGCTTTATATGTGTGTGTGTGTGCATATATATATATATAGATATAGATATAGATATATAAATTTCATGCAATTTACGACACTGTGGTTTGGGTGAGGAAAATCCATATATGTTTGTCTCATTGTGAAAAACAATTATATTTGACAAATTCTAAAGAGATTCCTCATAAACAAAGAAAAGTGTGAGAATTACAGTATAATAACCCATATAGGTTAGATATTAGGAGAATGATAATGCAGACTGCAGAAAACCTCATGTTTTCTTCACCATTATTTTAACATTTGTTCTCATGATGAAGAGTATTTTGAACTCCCTAGGCAGTAAGAATCCCTAGCTGGAAGCTACTCTCCTGAGACTCAGGACATCTTTCAGTCTCCTGATTTACTCAGAGCTGTATGATGGTAAAGGTGCAAACTGTTCTAGGAAATTCTCCAGAGGCTGCCTACTGCTCCTGCAGAGATCCAGCTGCAGCCAGAAATACATTATCCCACTGTTATCCCAAATCTGAGTCTGCATTCAGAAGACTGCCTTTTCTATTTCCCCTGCTGTCTATCTCAAGATCAATAGCTTCAGTTGAAAGAATTATGTAATTTCTCCCTCCCTCACTTTGTACAGCTATGCCTCCTGCATAGCTTACAACTTTTTGTAAGACACAGTGTGGTGGTGGCTGTTAGACACAGACTAGAGATTATAGTGTATCTCATGTCTTAGGAGAAAAGAGAATGAGGAGAATGAGGAGAATTAGTGAACATCCGTAGTGGATTGACCCTGGCTGGATGCCAGGCACCCACTAAAGCCTCTCTCTCAACCCCCTCCACAGCTATACAAGAGAGAGAACATAAATATTTAAAAAAGGGTTCATGAGCTGAGATAAGGACTGGGAGATCACTCATCAAACACCATCATAGGTATTTGATCATCACAGGCTTGAGTTAGAGACGTTAGCTGAATTTATTGCTAACAAAATCAGACCAGGATAATGAGAAGTAAAATAAAACCTTGAAAACATCTTCCCCTCACCCCTTCCTCCTTCCCAGCTTTACCTCCTCCCCCAGGGGCTCAAGGAGGCAGGGAATGGGGGTTATGGTCACTTCATCACCTGAGGCTTCTCCCACTGCTCAGGGAGAGGAGGGGGGTCCCTCCCACAGGAGACAGTTCTTCAGGAACTTCTCCCATGTGAGTCCATCTCACGAGCAGCAGCTCTCTGTGAACTGCTGAAATGTGAGCCCATCCCATGGGGAACAGTCCTCCCAAAACTGCTGCAGTGTGGGTCGCTCTTCCATGGGTGCAGTCCTGCAGGGACAGGCTGCTCCAGCCTGGGAGCTGGGGGACCCTCTCTCCACGGGCCTCCCACAGGCTCACAGCCTCCTCCAGGCAGCCACAGCTCCAGCGTGGGTCTCATCCACAGCTGCAGGTGATCTCTGCATCCCTTTGGACCTCCCTGGGCTGCAGGGGCACAGCTGCCTCACCATGAGCTGCAGAGGAATCTCAGCTTTGGTGCCTGGAGAACCTCTTTTCCCTCCTTCTCCACTGACCTTGGTCTGCAGAGTTGTTCCTCTCACACATTCTCACTCTGGCCACAGTTACAACTACCAATATATCTTTGTTAAATTTCTTCCTAAATCTGTTATCACAGAGGCATTAGCAGCATTTCTGTTTGGCCCAGGCTTGGCCAGTGTCACATCCATCTTTGAAGCTGTCAGGGATTTGCTCTGTTGGACATGGAGGAAGTTTCCAGCAGGAGCCATCCCTGTACCTCCCCACCTTCCTGCACGCAACCCCCCCCTTCCCCCATACGAGAGCTTGGCCTTAAAACCCCAATACAATTTGATTCACTCCCTTTTTAATATAATAATCTTTGTGATGTCATCTTTCGTTTCTCAAAGAATTGCAGTAGTTACCTACACAATCTTGTCTAATAATCTATCCCATTGTATGTCAGTCTGTGAGGGAAATTGCTTCCTTGCTCTCACTTTATTTGACAGTACTGACAAGTAACACTTCCTTTCCTGATTATACCCACCTACGTGTAACTGAGATGTTTTTTTCTGCAGTAGTTTTTGCTGGAGGCTGTATTAGAGTTCCAATGAAGATAAACTTTCAGCGGTCTCTCATGTCTAATGAAATAAATGAAAGATTTTGAATGTGGTCTTGAAGGTACATACTATTGTACATGATCTCGTCAGAATATAAATTATCATGATGCAGATATTGTCTGATATTTTTTTCTTAGAAGTAGTTTAGTATCCTGTAAAGGTGGTTTTTTTGGGGTTTTTTTTGTTGTTGTTGTTTGGTAGGTTTTTTGTTGGTTTTTTTGGGGATTTTTTGGGGATTTTTTTTTTTTTTCAACAGCAATTTTCTGTATCTGTAAAAGCAGAATTCAGTAATATGTCTGAACTCCTGCTAGGCTAATACAATTTTAGTCTCTGTAGTATCTATAGAGATCTGAAACAATGTGGTGCTCTTATGTTTATTCTTGTCGGTCTTATAGGAAGGTGGAGAATGATAAGCCACGGCTTAGAAACCCCATCAGAAATTCCCATTCACAAATACTTAGGCGGCTTTTAATTTCAACAGCTCTTAGTTTTGAAACACAGTAGTATCAGTGAGAGGTGGTCATGTAATTTCTCTTGCCGCATAGATCTTCCAGCCTAGAAAATTATATTTAGAAGGGCTGTTCTTCACGCTCTTCGCTTCGGACCTGTCACAATCTCATCTGCCTGCTCAGAGCTTCACTGAGAGCAGGAGAGCTCCTGAGTGTTTGTCACTCCCCGAGACTCGTCCGCACAACCTAACAGCCTCGGAGCAGGATGGAGATGTCTCCAGAGAAACACCGCATGAAAACGCCGCTCGGCATCCTCTCCCTCATTATCTAGAACTCATTTCTGAAGCTGCTGCTTCACGGGGTGGCCTGGCCCTGAGGTAAATGGCCGGCCCCGAGATACGCTCCCGGCCCCGAGGTACGCTCCCGGCCCGGCGCCGGGCTGCAGGGGGCAGAGCCCGGCAGTCGCCCCTTCAGGCGCTCCCCGGAGCGCTCCCGGCCCTGCGCAGCCCTGCTCTCCCCGG